GACCCCTTTTCAAGATATATGCTTAGGTGGTGTGATTGGGATATCTTCATGTGTCTCACATCAATACCCATCTATATTGGACACTCGAAAAGTTTCATGAAGTTTGGAATCAAAAAGTCACATGAAATGATAAGTTATATCCTTGTTGGAATGATTTTACTAAGTGCTTGAATTGCACTATTAAGTGAATGAGAACATGAGATGTCCACCAAACCTTGCAACCTTGCTAAAATGACTCTAGATGAACTCTACAACAAAAGTCATGAAGGGTTCATGTTGGGCAAATGCCAAGAAAATGCTCCAATGGATCAAAAAGGATAATTTAAGCTTCATCGTGATCCTACTTTGGTCAAAGTAGAACAATAGGTTCTATACCAGTTTTGAGGTTGGACCTTAAATGAAAGTTGTAGTCCATATCATGTAGAACAAACTTTGTTTTTGGACCAAGAGCTAGATCAACTTGGAAATAAGTCAAACAGAGGCTCGAAGTTGGAACCTGCTGCTGATTTCAGCACTTAGAAATATCCTAAGTCTGAAATTCATCGACATCGGCATTGACGTCTCACGTTCTCCAAATTTCGTTAAGTAACTTGACTTGACCCCAAAATAAAAGTTGGAGCATACATCGAGAAGAAGACCATGCAAAAGGATGGCACTCGTTGGACTTCGTTTTGACCCTCAATTTGGGCTTTTGTTCATCGCCGTCAACGCGTTGACACTATTAACTTGGAGCCTAATTACCCGCTGATCCAGAGCTCTAATGACTTGGCTCCTTAAACAAGAAATGCAGAGCGTCAGGAAAGAAGCAAACTTCATTTTAGGCCCAAAGTCCAATTCGCACCCGAGACGACAGCCCAAATCGGCTTCCCACCATGTCCACTCCGTCGCCTGGGCCATTTGTTCGCGAAATTGCGTCAAAGGGGCTGACGTGGTGCGTCTTGTGGCTTGACCATGCCCAGCTGCGCGCCCCACCTTGCTTGCCGCGTCCTGTGCCTTGCTCGATGTAGTGGATCGCCAGAGCACTCGCCGAGCTTCTCTCCCACTCCCGCCACCCCCGCCGCTCCCTCTCGCGCTCTCCTCGCTCCCTGCAACTGTTTCGCCATGGCGACACTCAAGCTCGTTCAGCGCGTTGCTTTGCTTGCCCACGGCCTCCCTCCACCCAAATGGACCATGAGGACCACCTTCCTCTCACCACGCCGCGCCTCTGGACCTCCTTACCGACGCCTTTGGTCGCTGATGCTCCTCGCCGTCGGAGAGCAATTTTGCCGTCGCCATGCCATCGTGGCTGGCCACCACAGGCCACGTCGGGCCAAGCTGAGCAGCCCTGCGGGTGCGCGTGGACCTCCTGGTGCTTTCCCATCATTCCCCCGCCACCGCCAGCCCTTCTCCGACCGCCACCGACCGATTCCCCGGCGTCCTCTGCTCCAAATTCGCGCCAGGGACCTCGCGCAGCAATTCGACTAAAGGGAGGGGTGTAACTGCAATGTCATAGACTCAGGTGAATAGTGCCATAAGGACTGGTTTGTAATTATTTTGCAGGAACTTTGGAAATTCATAGTAATTCATAGGAAATTCGTAAAATAGCAAATGAGGACTTTTTGGAATCCTTGTGAAATTGTCTATGCAGTGGATCTATAATATGGCATGTTTTAGTTTAAATATTTTGCGGTAAAAATAGATTTGTGCAGGAAGGTTGTAATGCTAGTTGAATTTGTTATTTTTCATAACTGTAGATCTAGGGCTCCAAATGAAGTGAAATTTTTGTGGCATGCTACTCCTGTGATAGTTGATGTGTGGTAAAAATTTCATGAGTATTGGATGAAGTATGAGTGAGTTATTGGTTTATCTTGCTCTCACATGAATTCTTGCTTTAGCAACTTGTCTTTTTCATAGAGGTTGCTATACATATTCAAATGGAGTGAAATTTGTACAGTAGACTATTGAGAGGATATGTGAGCCACTGTAATTTTTGTAGAATTTATTGTATACTTTTGGTATATGTTCATTAAGTCACCTTGTTATCTAAAATAAATTAAGAAATGCATTAAAAGAATTTATTTGGTCATGGACACTAGGTTTTCTGGTGTTCTTTAGTCATGTGTGAAATGTTGGTAAAGTTGGTTTTGCCCAATTATGTATTTGCAACATAAGTTAATAATTATTTTCTTGCCGATGTGGTTTATGGACAGATCTGGGAACTTAGCAAAGTTCTTCATGATAATGTGCTTTGTTGTGAAACTTGTTTATACAAAAGTTGTAGATAATTCATGTATCTAGCTTCTATTAAAATTTGGTGTCATTTGTACAAGTAGTTTAAGAGTTACAGCTGTTTAAAGTTGGGTTTCAGAAATGGCTGTTTTCTGTCAATTGTGGACCAGTTTCTGTAAATGGATATATTTGACTTAGTTAACTTGAGAATCATGCTAAGATGATTAAAAATGAATTGTAGAGAATTTCATAAGCTTTCCATAATGTCTTCTTTCAAGTCATTTGGATTTGTGTAACTCCAGTTATAGCTAAATCTTGGAGCTGCTGTTTGCATGTCCAGAAATTGACAGATTCCCATTTTAGTGCTTGCTTGTATATTGTTAAGTGTGACGTATGCCTTGAATGATGACTGAGTTAGAGCACTTGAGATCTGGGGAAACTTGTGTCATGATTGGTGTTGTCGTCTTCTTTGCCATCTTAGCATGATAGATTGTGTGATGTTTAAGTTAAGCATCGTAAAGTACTTAAGTGTGTTAGGGTAAACTATGCTTGTCTTGCTTGCTATTTTGTGATGTGTCTCATGGTACTATTCTTCATATTTATGCACTTGCATATTGCATCTCATCTAGGTACGCTAGATGAACCACGTGAAGGACGTGATGTTGGAGCCAAACCCGAAGACAATGTTTGATGGATCTATCCCGAAGATGGAAGGACTAAGCAAGTGTTAGGACCTATGATGTTACCAGGATGGTGCAAGCTAACTGAACTGACTTGTGTCGGATCCCAGGCAAGCCCCGGAGCATTATAAGTCTCCTAATTTATAAAAGCAATTCTTTCTATATATGAGTTATATATTGTTGCATTAAGTTGTAGGAGTTGATTGAAACCGTTGATGCATTTATTACTATCCTTGCCTACCTTATTACCCTTTTACCCTGTTAGGTCAGGATCGAATAACTGCTTAGCCTTGCTTAGACCGGTAGCGATCGGTGATATCCGGTCACCTACATTTATAGGTGGTTACTGGAAGAATTTAGCTATGGAAAGAATGATATCCTGGAATTAACCATGTGTGATGGATAATTGGAGACCGGACGGAAAAGTTGGAGGCAACGGAGCATGGTTACGGGGGTTGTTAGTTTCCGTCTGTGTCGATTAAGGACCGACCGTTGTTGGGCCTCGAGTCATGTTGAACGCATGCCTTACATTTAGCTGGCCGGATAAAGTACCTTCCGACCGCGAAGCTGGGAGATTTTTCGGGCCGAGTAGATTGCCCGCAGCGCACTGTGCCGGAGCAGGTGTGGTAGGACACGGGGGCGGGATGATAAGACCAAAGTGCAGTCGGTCGGCCCCCGGGTACATGTGGTTCCTGGCAAACTCGAGATACCTGGAAAGTTGACTCGGTGATCAATATCTCACTTTAGCGGGTGAGTGAGGTTTGTGTAAGGAATAAATCACCAAATTTGGTTAGGAATCGATTCAATCGCCATCGCTCCCGGATAGTGAGCACTTGACTCGAAGTTACTTCATCGTAGTAATTATTATGGAACAATGATGGTTATCTCGGATGGTATGGGATATGCTAAATCTAAATTGGTAACTGGATGTTATTGGTTAATCAAGTGATTGCTATAGTACTGGTGCTTACCTAGATGGATAGGTCATAATAAAGATGATGCAAAGTATTTAAAATGGTTTCTTCATGATAGCTTATGCTTTTCGCAAACAAGTCACCTAGCCCACTAAAGAAAGCCTTGCATGATCCTTGGTGTCATTTGTTTTGGTTTCCGACGGGTAAGTCTCAATTTGAGTACATTCGAGTACTGTGGTTTATCCCACCTTGTTGCGGTGAAGTTCTCGAATTGTTGATGATGGTGGCTAACGCTTGTGGGCTCGGTGATTCTATATTTACTTCTCATCTATATGCTTTTGTCGGATGATGTCACTTATGCTAGCAATATATTTGGAACTTATATTAATGTAATCATTTGAAAGCTATGTTGTTTTCACTAAGCGGTTTTGAAACCCAAATTTGTACTATTATTTGTTAAACCCTTTGTAACATTATTTCCGCTGCAACCCGATGTATGTGATGTGTATTTGCTTAATCACGCGATCTTGGTTGTGATGTTGATTTACCGAGGTCTTTCGAGACACTCGGCGGACTACCGGGTTTATATGAGTGAAAGTATGGGTGTGTCAACGTGTTAGCGGGGACAACCATACTTGATCTTGTATAAATTGGGCGGTTCTGTCACACCGGCGAACCACCCGTCCATCTTGTCGGTGAGAGGCGACGGATCCATGCTCACGAACATCTTGCATATGTTCTCGAACGTCACCTGCAAGCGCATGCGTTAGTTATTTGATTTATGGCTTCAAATGAACGCATTAGCGTGCATCACTGTGCGCCGGAATATATAGCTAATTAAGGAGCATACATGCGTACTTTCTTGATCTCAGTGGCGGCGGAGATGGTGCCCTTGTCCGCCCACGACCGCAGCGCCGCCACGTTGATGGACGACCTCCGCGATGGTCCGGAGCGAGCTGGGGCGGTTGATGGCGGCGAGGATGAACCCGCGGAGCCTAGCGTGCTGGCTGCCTTCCACGTTGACCACGCAGGAGAGGCTGACGAGCTCCGGCGCGGGCCAGCGGATGCCGAAGGTGCCGTCCTGGGAGGACTTGAGGACGAACTTGTTGGCCGCTGGCGAGCAGACGAGGACGGTCGGCGAGCCGAAGAGGTGCGTCCGGTACACGCCCACGTCGCCCGCGCGGGCCCCGGCGTCGGCTTAGTAGCGCCTCCTCCGGGCGTGGACGAAGCCGTCGGGGCGGCGCGCGAGCTTGTAGTACCAGAGCAGCCAGAGGCTCTCGCCCACAAACGGGAGGCCCATGTGGCCTGGCGGGAGCCTCGCACGACGGCGCCAGCGCTTCACCTCGAAGAAGGCGCAGTGGCTGGCGTCGTTGAAGTGCCTGACAGCAAGCACGAGCAGCGGAACGGCGCCGAGGAGGAGGCCGATCCACCACGCCCAGTCCGCCGGCGTCACTTGTGCGTGCATCGACATCGAGTGGACTCCAACAGTCAGCTAGCAGGTATGCTCGGTTCGCGCGCTGGCGGGACTGGATTGACCGCTATGCTGCCTGTGCCACTAGCTACGCGTTTGGCGTTTCATATATAGGAGCAGCAGCAGAGGAGCTATGTATGTATAATATACTCCTATTTATTTTTCCCCAACGAATGAGCTATATTCGTATCAATTAGAGCAAGTATGATAAACGTGTATAGCTTGCTTATACATACATGTCTATTCATGCAAGAACCCAACATCTACAAGTTCTTTAATATCGAACAGAATAGTACAAATGAAAATAGAAAAAAGGATGACCAGGGTTATAGACACCGTACCGTATATTATTATTAGACGTACTCTTGTCCTTCTAGAGCTGTAGTTTCTTAGCTTATTGCATTCTTTACTATAGTTGCTTTAATTGGTTGGATTTGGATGCTTCCGATCGGTAGATGCTTCAACCTTATGTCCGAACGTGGACAAACTAAAAATGGCTATACTTGTCTAGTTGATCCTTACTCCTATAGGGTATATTATCTATGGCTATATAGCCTATATAAGTACATTGTTACTTTTGGGTGCGTGTTTCTGCCGACGGACACGTACACCTTGTGCACGTTCGGTCCTTGTTCAGTTTACTCGAGGGATTGAGGGGAATTTTGACTTGCAGCCTCGTGGGCCTGCACCGGAGACCAGAGAGGGGGTGGGGGCCTAGGTGGATCATTGTGGATGTTAAATGAACTTTTCTAACAACGTCAAAGAGGCCACAAACCACGGCCTTGGCCCATCCTATCCTATCCCAACCCAACAGCCCCGTTCCCGTGAAGAAGCGAGCCGCGACCGACCGAAGGCAAGTCCACAAAGGAAAAGGGAAAAGGTGAAAGGAAAGAGCAGCAGCGACGCGCACACAAAAAGGAAAAAATAAACCCCTCTCGTCACCGCGATCTCCCCGCCGAGCTCTCTCCCTCTCCGTCGGTGATGGCAACTCAGAGCTCCAATACCGCGGACGCCGCCGCGCCTGCGCCGGAGGCCGCAGCCACCGGAGAGGTGGCTCCGAACGCTGCTTCCTCAACGCCGGCCCAAAACCCTACCGCTGCTGCAACCGCGGTGGCCGGGGCCACAGATCTGGAGAAGAAGATGCGCCGCGCGGAGCGGTTTGGGACGCCAGTGGTCATGTCAGAGGACGAAAAGCGCAGCAGTCGCGCCGAGAGGTAAGTGTTCTGTGGATCCCCTTCCCTAGGGTTTAGAGGATTTGTCCTCACAAATCCCGTAGTTCGTATTGGAAAGTGTTTATTCAAGCACAATATGTCACTAATCTCCTAACAAAATAGATGTGCGGTATTGCAGTATGCATGTTTTGGTCACTGTGTGTGTATTGAATTGCAACACTGTAGGTTTTTTGGGTACTAAAGTACTTAGGTGCGTTTGGTTCGAGGACGAAGTTGGATGGGATATGGCGATCTATGGATATTGGGATAAGGATGTACATGATGCATGTTTGGTTGGATGGATAGGACAAGCCATTTTTTTGGTTGGATGAATGGAAGTGGATGGGATTAGAATAGTTGCCTAATTATATCTATTATTTAAAAATAATAACAACTAATTAGACACTAATAAATATGCACTAATACTAATTTTGCCATGAAAATCACTAATTTAAAATAAATATGTTAATTAGCACAACTAATAACCTAATTAGCACATGAAACATGCACTAATCAATGTATAAACACTTATCAAAACTAATCCTACCATCATAATTACTAAGCAATAATATAACTTACTAATCATCCTTAATTTATTTACTAATGACAAAGATTAGAAGACATGGATAAGCTGGTTCGTGAGATTTTTACAAACCAGGAAATCCAGCATCTGGGGGGGTATATTCCCTATCCATGGTTTTACTGCTCCCAGTGATTCATCCAACCAAACGCCAGTGATCCATGGATGGTCCAATCCCATCCATACAAATCCAACCAACAAAACACATATAAGGTCTAGCTCCAACACTTTAGGCTTTTAGTACATAGACAAGGTCTAGCTCCATACATATCAGTTCTCTACCTGTGTTCTTCTGAGGTTGCAGTTATTCACGATGTTGCAAGGCACATGGGTGATGTCGCAGCAATTCTGTGCTTTGCATTATTCGATGAGGTGTCCAATTGTTGCTGTTGTTCATAGAGATTTCAATGCATTTCAGGACCTAAGCAGCTAGTTCCTTGCATGAATGATGTTTTATTGTTTTAATTGTTTCATGCAGTTTATAACTAAGTTACTTGATTGCCTTTGAGCCTTTCTAGTTTTGTAGGTCATGTGTCCCCTTGATACTGCCTGTGTATTGAATTTTCACCATAGATTTGCATCCATCGTTTCTGTGCATGTTGTGTAGGATAGGCAGTCAGGAGTTCAAAAGATTTAGGTACTTAGTTTAATTCATCGGTGCCCAGTCTTTAGGTATATTGCCTATCTAATTAAGCCATAAGTGTTTAGATTTGAGCCATCAAGCCTATAGCCTGCTTCTAGATTTTAACTTTTGGTTTGATGTTCTAACCTCAGTGATAGTCAGATCTGAGTGGGCTAGATTAGTGCCCGTCTGGCATGGTTCCCATTGGCTCAGGCTCCTGCTACAGCTCCATTGGCTACTAGCTCATTTTAGCAAGAGAGAAAACTGGCTTCAGTTCCATTGGCTCAGGCTCCTGCTACAGTTCCATTGGCTACTAGCTCATTTTAGCAAGAGAGAAAACTGGCTTCACCTGAGAATGGCAAGCCAGAGCCGATGGGAACCGTGCCAAAAGGGCCCTTAGTTTTGTTACTTAAGGGCCTGTTTGGATGATATCATATATTACACTTGTTGTGCACAGGAATACCGTCGGAATGGAAACAATTTTTATACCCCTGGAAATGGCCGTTTGGGTAATAGTGAACCATACATATATGCGGCTACTGAAATTACCATTTGAATTTCAGTAGAACGATAGACAGAGCCCATCCTAGTTTCAACAGACGGCCAAGAGAGATCGCAAGTAAAATCCTAGCAGCCAGTTGATGCTAAAAAATTGAATAGATAAAGGAACCATGGCTGGATAAGCTCGCCGTCTGGCCATGCAGGCTTGCTTGCTCGGCGAATTCTCCCTGCCACACGGCCACGATGCTTGTGGTTCTGGAGCATGGATGCAGCTGTCCTTCGCAGCGCTGCCATCCGCCGACAAAGTCCTCGGCAGATCGAATCGTGAGGTTGGAGTTTTGACAGTTCTCGACGCCGCACACCATGTCAAGGCAGCCTCTCCATAGTCTCTGCCACAGATTCGTTGCTATTCTTGTGGCCTTGAGTTGGATTCATGCATACTAGAGATGGAAATTGTCGATTTGTCAGTGCAGATCGAGGTTGTCATGCCGCATGAACGACACAGATTGAGGCCGGACGTGAGGGGTTGAGAGAGATTGGGCATCAGTAGAAACAGAGCGAAGCGACGATGGAGGAGAGTCCGACTTTCGTCGTTTTTTACCGTAGGCTCAAGAGGTGATTATATTTTTTCAGGTGTAAATGCTTGTTACCGCTGTAAATTGATTTTGATTACAGTCTATCCAAACAGATTTTTTGGATCAGGCCTGGAAAAGTTTTGGGCTGGTATTTTACACCTTTTTTTTTATCTACTAAAACCGGCCTTCCAAACAGGCTCTAAGTGGTAAGATTCGGTAATAAAATGATGATGTGGTGTTATTGAACTCTTAATTGCATATGACGTGTAACTTCATTATACAATATTAAATATGTGTTGTATACTTTTGGGGTGCTTACACTGAAACTAAAGGTAGTGTCATACAGAGATATAGTCTATTCATTTGTTTAGTGTTCCATGTAAGTTCTAGATAAGGTTGAGTTGCTGCTTAAAACCAAGCACAACTTCACTTTTCAATCCACTCAAGGGCCAAGCTTTGTAGAGCCTCTGTTCTTTTGCGTTTATTTGAGCATACTCCAAACTTTGATCATTCCTGTTTGGCTGATCAACTTTCCAGATGATATATATTACAATTACTAAGTAAAGTGCATTTCATTTGTCTTGTCTACAAGATTTGGGACTGGATCTTCAAGTTTAAAGGAGGAAGAGAAGAAGAAGTCCAGGGCTGAGAGGTGTGTTAATCTTAGAAAATCCTCTAATGTCGTTCTAGGTTTTTCATATGCTCCCAAGTAATGTACTGATGCTTGGTTAAATGAATGGAATTGCCAGGTTTGGCCTTGCCCCATCCTCTTCTTCAGATGAGGAAGCTAAGAAAAAGGCCCGTCTGGAACGATTTGGTCAGGGCACAAATGTTGACAAGGCGGAAGAAGAAAAAAGAAAGGCCCGAGCAGCAAGGTTAGTGAATGCGACAGTGTCATATCATTCCTGATTATTCTCTGTGGAACCTAGAAACCAGCTCATCTCTTCACAACTTCATCAGATTTGGAGATACATCTAGTGGATCAGCTCGGGAAAATGGCAAAGACAGCTCGAAGCCGGTATGTTTTATGTGGTTATGTGAAGAACTTTGGGTACCTAGTCCACATGATTTTGTTCAGAACTTTCACCTCCAATTGGTGTTTATTTGGCTCTTCTCTTCCTCTGTATTTGATTGGCACAGGACGCAGCCGCTGTTACAGGCACAGCTTGATTTCAGCACTACGCCTTCGATGAGGTTAGACAATGCTGTTACCCTCCCAGAACAATGTTTTCCTTACCAAGACCTGCTTTTGTAGTTTCCCTAACATGAAAAGAATTAACTTCGTCTCCTGCAGGTCTCAGATATTATCCTAGGACTTTTGGTGAAGCCATAGCTTGTACACCACTAATTGCATGAACGGCGTCATGTGTTTCCCAGTCATGCTGAGTGATGTTTACCGTGTATGACTTTCTTAGTTGCTGGGCACTGGCAGTGTGGCAAGATTTGCTGCCTGGTTTGTGGATGGTCATGTACCTTCGGTTGCCGATACCATTTGGTGAATGATTTCGTTTCCATGTACGTACCCCAGTTGGACTAGTTAACTGTTAGAAGACAACAAGGTGGCCCTCTTTTGTTGTGCCCGTGTTTCTGTTGCTACAACTCTAGGAAACGGGATATGGAAACCCATAATCACGGAGCATGGCATCTGAGTAACAGATAACGCATGCGGTGCAGATGCGATGCTCGTCCATGGATAAATGGTCCATTTGCGAAAAGCTACTGGTCGTATCGTATGGATCCAGCAAACTGCGTTGGCATTTTCTCTGGCAACCGCATCACATTGTGTGCGAAAAACTCATGAGTTGACAGAAAGAAATAGAGTCCCTGGATTCATTCTTTTTGTAAATAGTGACTCCACATGAGCCATCTTATTCCATTCTCTACAGACGCTCCTCTAAACAGCTATGTATAAAAATCACTGCGGTTGAGAAAATGAACAGATGCACCACCCTAAACAGCACTACGAATAATTCACGGAGGCAGACAACTGAATGTTCGACACCGTAGAAGCGAATCACACGGTTTGGTAGCGCAGCGCGCCTGGTGGTCTCAGTGGTCGTAGAGTTCCTGGTGGGCGACGACGAGCTGCGACCGCCGCTCGATGGTGTAGCGCAGCTGCTCCTTCACCCGCCGCAGCGCCAGGAGGACGGACTCCACGTCGCCGTGCGGCTTCGGCGGCCCCGTTTGAGCGGCGGCCGCGACCGGTTGAGGCTGCGTGTCGAATAGAACGATCGCAAGCTTGTTGGCCTCCTCTTCTTCCTGCCGTTCTTCCTCGTGACTCCTGGCACGGGCCTCTCCTGCCTGCGTCTCGTTGTCCTGCGTTCTTGGACCGTCGTCGTCTGCTGCTGCTGCTGCAACGAGCTGGGGGTCCACTAGGACAAGCGCTAGCCTGTTGTCGCTTTCGTAGAACGCTTCTTCGGATTTTGCTGAGCCACAGCCGCTGGATGCATCAAGGTGTTGCCTGGCACAAGAACACATGACACGAGTCATACATGCAGTAGTACGTGTGAGAAATAAACTGCAAATATAGCTGCCGGAAATTGGACTACATTTGCAGATTTGCTTATTATCGTTTGTTGTTACTTGTGGTCATGTGCTTTGCAAATGCACAATCGTTTGGGAAGCTATGTAGCATACACAGATGTGATAAAAGGAAAATCTCATGTTGGTTTGCTTCACTCTTCAGCCTGATGGGTGCAGTGCTGGTCCGTCCACCTCCCATGCAGGCATGCTAGTACTAAAAGGCAACAATTCTGTTCTAATGCAAAGGGAAGCACTAATTGGAGCTAGCATCCAGGAGCTCCAAAAAGGCAAACATTTAAGAGGAGGAATGCTGTCATAATTCTCGCTGGAAGTCTGGAAGAAGGCAATTCCTCTAGACAAAGATAGTAACAAGAAAGCTGAAATCCAGTAGCTATGATGAAAACAAAAAATAAATCCCTAAATTAAGCAAGTGTTTTTTTATCGACAAGAAAATTAACTACCAATTGGCATTGAGTTGATCTGCACGCGTACCTCTCTGAATCATGGTCACCGCCACTCTCCTCTGAGCTGCAGTTGGTGGTGTTTCCGGCAAGATCCATGCAAGAACCAGGCCAGGATTGCTCTGACACAACGGAGCACCAGCTCCCGTCCTGGGAGGACGAATTCACCTGAGTGCATGATCCCTCCGATGATTCCCTGACGATGTCCCTGTCAGCGTCGGCGTCGGCGTCGGCGTCTCCGGAAGGAGCGGATGGCACAGAACCATCAGTGGTCAACGAGCCAGAGCTGTTCCTCTCCTCCGCCTCCACCTCCACCTCCACCTCCACCTCCGGCGCCTGGTGACCGGAGCGGCCATTGGAGGACAGCGACCCAATGGAGCCGTCCGAGAGCTCGACGTCCAGAATCTTGAGGGATTCCAGCTTCTTGATGGCCGTCCTGAGCCTCCTCTCCGCCTTGTTCCTCACCTTGACTTCGTCAGCGAGCTTTTTCTCTAGCTCATCCAGCTGTGACCCAGACCGACCATGAAATCGACAGAGAAAAAGAGTTCAATTAGTACGTGAGCCAACAGTGTTAGATTGATGTCCTCCGGCTCGGTCCAACGACCGAGTCGGACCCTAACTCGCGTCTTGATCGGGAGCGTTCAGCCATTCTCCTGGTCAGTGGACCCCGTCACGCAGTGCTATAAATAGGAGGTGGGGGCTAGGGCTCGAGATATGAGGTTCACTGTAGCCGCCAGCGTCCCACCGACGTCCTAACCCTAATCCGATCGAGAGGGCGCGCTGTGAAAGACGGGAAGCGCCACAGCTTTCACCGCCGCCACTGGATCGCGCCTCCACTGCACAGCTATCTCTACTCCGACACTTGAGGCCACGTCGTTGCGCCATGACCGCGACTGCGTTTTGGGAGGTACATCGACAAGTTGTTTGTCTAAGTTAAGTTTCACCCGCTAGATCTACACCTAGAGGTCCTATAAATTCTATCAATGGCATCAAAGCAAGGTTGGTGTGTGAATCTAGTTTGGGGTAGTCTAAGTTTTAGCATTTAGAAGGAGATGAATCAGAACGAACAAATCCAGTCGATTTAAACCCAAACCCTAACCCTAGAAGACGGACGGAGAGGACCGGGGCTTATCAATCGCAATTGTCACCGCCAGCGTCGCTCCGACATTGTGCGGGAAGAGCACCCGAATCACCGGTGCCGGTGGGTCACGCCACCGCGCGGCTTACGCATCGGGCTCGGGAGTCAAGGGCGTCGCCACAAGGCCGCTCGACGGCAGCGCGCTCAGCCTCGAGCGAGCGTGCGCACCGGCAAGGGGCCCAGCGGCTACGCCGCCACGCCTGTCCGGCCGTGTCGGTGTTTTCGGACCACCGACGAGTAAATTTGTATTTACGCGTCTGGCTCGGATGGTGTGCTCGAAGGACACAAGCGTTTATACTGGTTCGGGCGGAACGTCCCTACGTCCAGTTCGCTGCTGCTCGTGTTACTAGCACTTGGTTTACAGTAGGGGTTACAAACAGACGAGAGAAGGAGAGTGTGGCAGAACCGCCTAATCTAATGTCTCCCAGGCGTACTTGTCTTTCATTAGACACTAAGTACTCAAGGGAGGACACTAAATTACGCAGTTCCGTCGAGCACACTGAAAGCATCTAGGCCCCTAGTTGGATTTCGGTGATTAATGTCAATACAAGATTACTATGACTAACGTGTGTTTTGCAGAGGCAACTAAGTTAGGTCATGGTAATGGAGATCGATTGGGCAATCGAGGTTGTCATGCCCCTACGATGGAAATCGTTTCGGTTTTCAAAGGATGGACGACAAGGTTAAGGATAACTAGTTCTAAGTGTCGATTGGAGTTGGAGAGACATTTAGAGTAGTTTAGGACTTTGTTTTTTCCTTTGGCCGTACTATAAAGGGGGGTATGAACGGGTAGCTTGACCTAGTTGAGTCTAGTGAGTTAGGTGTGGTGCACACTTGTTAAAACTAGCTCTAGGTAGCTCCTATGAATGCCTAAGATCCTTTGGAGCAAACTTCATTCACATATGTTCGAAAGTTAGAAGTGAATGGAGGGTCAAACATCGACCGGACGACTGGCAGCTCGGATGCTGACCGGACGCATGGCCGCAGGTCCGTCCGATTCGTTTGACCGAGGTGGTTAAGTCTCACAGACCGGATATTTGGAAGGTCGTGTGACCGGACGACGAGGGCTAGCGTCCGGTCGACTCAAAGAAGGGTCCAGACTTTGAAAAAGAGTGACCGGACGCGTCCGGTCAATATGACCGGACCACGTGTATCCGGCGTCCGGTTGCGTTCTGATAAGCATCAAGAGCGACGACGGGACGCGTCCGTCGGTAATCGACCGGACCTGTCGCCGTCCGGTCATCACTTGAATGTTGGTTCATGGGTTGAACTGACCGGAGCGTCCGGTCATCACGATCGGAAGCGTCCCCGGCCGTCCCGCGCAAGCTCATAACGGTTAGTTTTTCAGTCGCCTTATAAATAGAAGCTCCACTCGTGAGTGGAGGAACTTTTGCTCATTCCAACAATTTGAGAAACACGTTTGTGAGTGCCAAGAAGAGCAAGGTCCTAGAGAGGTGTTTGTGATTTGAGAATCCAAGAGAGTAGCCTCACTAGCAAATCAAGAGTAGCAAAGTGTGCATCCATCTTCTCATTAGGCTTCATGTGGTCAAGTGAGAGTTCGTGCTTGTTACTCTTGGTGATCGCCATCACCTAGACGGCTTGGTGGTGATTGGGAGTTTGGTGTTCACCGGTGAGCTTGTGGGTGACCCAACTCAAGTTGTGAGCGGCTTTGGGTGATTGGCCGCACGACGAGTGTCGAAGAATCAACCCATAGAGAGCACTTGATCCCTTGCAGCGGATCAAGGGGGAGCTACATCCTGCGCTGGTGCTCCAACGAGGACTAGTGGAGAGTGGCGACTCTTGATACCTCGGCAAAACATCGCCGCGTTCCTTTCTCTCCCTATTTACTTTGAGCAATTCAATACTTGTTTTACATCCATAGAATTGCTTGCTTGAGTAAGGTTGGAACATAGGTGGTGAGTTCGTTGTGCTTTAGTTTGATAGAAACACTTTTCTAGGCACAAGGGGTTAATTGGGCTATCCGTAGGATTTGTTTATTGCAAGAGAATTTGAATTAGCCCAATTCACCCCCCTCTTGGGCATCTTGATCCTTTCAATTGGTATCGAGCCTCGTGCTCACGTTTTTAAGCTTAATCGCTTAGAGCAAGATGTCTCACGGGATGGACCTCCTCCTATCTTTGAGGGAGATGATTTTCCATATTGGAAAATCCGCATGGAGGCATACTTAGAAGCTCTAGATGTTGGAATTCTTAGAGCCGCCTCTCAAGGGTTCCCCGCACCTAGGAATGCCGCACAACTTCAAGGCGATGAAGTAAATTATGAAAAATGGAATGCAAAGACTGCAACACCATTTTTAGAGGCCTTTGCAAAGAGGTGTTCAATCGTAAGGAACCACAAAGACGCCCATGCTCTATGGTCTGGACGTTTGTGCGCTCCATGAGGGAACCAAGAGTGAGCGTGAGGAACGCTATCATCTTGTGATTAAAAAGCTAAATTCTTTTGAGATGTTTCCCAAAGAAAGTGCTAATGAGATGTATTCTCGATTAAATGTTCTTGTAGAGGAAGTCAATGGGCTTGGACTTACTCAAATGTCACCATCCGACGTTGTGAGAAGAATCTTGAGTGTCCTCCCCATTGACAAATATGGGCACATTGTGACCGTGCTACATCAAGGTGATCTTTCCGCCGCTACACCGACACAAATCTTGGGAAAGATCAATGCTCATGAGATGTACATGCACATCACACCACAAGATGGCTCATCCTCTACAAAGAAGAAAGAGAAGGACTTAGCATTCAAAGCTAGCCAAGACAAGGGCAAAGCAAAACTTGAGTATGAGAGCTCAAGTGATGAAGATGATGAAGAAAGCCTTGCCCTCATGGTGAAGAAGACCACCACCAAGATGCTAAAAAGGCTAAATAAGAGTGGCATCAAGTTTGATGGCAAGAAGAAGAAGTTCTTCACAAGCTCAAGAAGAAAGCCAATCTCCGAGATGGATTGCTACAATTGTGGCGAAGCTTGGCCATCTAGCTCATCAATGCACAAAGCCCAAGAAAGACAAGTTCAAGAACAAGGGCAAGAAAGATGATTCAAGTGATGAAGATGAAAAGAAGAAGAACAAGCCATACAAGAAGAGAGATGGCAAAAAGAGGGACTTCTACAAGAAGAAGAAGAGTGGCAAGGCCTACATTGTCGGTGATTGGCTCACGGACATTGATTCATCAAGTGGATCATCCGATGATGATAGTGACGATGAAAAAGTGGCCGCCATTGCTATTGATATTGCATCTTCACCGCCACCATCGCCATCATCCTCTACACACCTATGCCTTATGGCCAAAGGTGAACGCAAGGTAACTAAGAGTGATGATAGTAGTGATGATGAACATGCTAGTGATGATGATAGTGATAGCGATGATGATGACTCACCTACATATGATGATCTTGTCAAAATACTAAGAAAATATACTAAGATCATTAGAAAAAGTAGGGCTACAAATGAAAAACTTGATGCTAAAAATGATTCACTCTTAGCTAAGTGTGATACATTAGAAAAGGCTAATGATGAGCTCAAAGAAACAAATGATTCTATATCATCCAAACTCAAGGAGCTCAAATCTTCTAAGAAAGAGCTTAAAGATAAAAATGATAAACTTGAGTGGGTGCACAATGAGCTTATCACTAGTCACAATAAGCTAAAAGATGAATATACAACTCTAAAGATCAATTATGATACTCTTATTATTGCACAAGAATTCTTACCAAATGAGCCACATGATGCTACTAACCATGTTGTTAAGATTGATATAGCTACCTCATGTGATGATTTAATTGATGAGAGCATTGAGCATGGATCTAGTAGCAAGGGCAAGCAAGTGGTTGAGTGCAATAACTATGATGAGTTTGTCAAGCTCAAGAGTGACAATGAGAAGCTCATGAAAGATCTTGAAGAAATGAAAAGTCACAACACCATTGTGCTAGAAACTCTTGATCATGACAAAGAGGTGATCCTTGAGAATGAGAAGCTAAAAGAAGAAATCAAGAAACTCAAGGAGGAGAAGAACAATGATATTCTCAAGGAAGAGAACAAGAAGCTCAAGATGGAGAAAGAGCATCTCAAAGTGGGATTGAGCAAGTTTGCTAGAGGCAAGCATCTCCAAAGTGAGCTACTCATGAATACCGTCATGAAGATGGATAGAAGTGGCATTGGATATATGGCAAGTGTAGAGAAGAAAAAGGCTCAAGCTCAACACCAACAATCAAAGCCAAAGCCAAAGCCAAAGAGATGTTTTGAGTGTGGACAAGAAGGCCACTTTGCTCATGAGTGTCAAACTCCACCACCACAACCCTTGCCCAAGCATGCTAGACCCTTTGCTTTCAATGCTCACTACATGCTTAGAAAAG